TTTTGTTGCTGCCTAGATTGTTTTTGCAGATTTCACTGTTATCATTGTTGTGTTTTTTTTTCATTTTATTTGATATTGCGAGATTTTTGTACCTTTGTCAAAAAAATAGAAAGCTTTTTATAATTCTAGTTTGACATATCGCAGCGGCATTTAATCCTAAATTTGCAAGCGATGTCAGGTGAACACGTGCGAGTGCGCACACACATAATTGCATACATATGTAGTATGTACATAGATACACTGATGTATCTGTGTGAAAAAAAAAAACATTTTAATCCCTTCAATAAGGCACACTTAAAAGTGCAAGTGGGTGGAGGTTAGATTGGTAATTTTGAAATTAATGTGCTTTAAGGAGACTACGGTAGGCGGGAATAATAACAGTAAAACAGAAAAGGATCGATTTGCTTGTGTACTGAAACATAAGTTTGTCTCCTGAATATGTATGTCGCTTTCGTAATTTCCTTTATGGTATATAGTACATCATTTTAATATTTTTCTTTTCCTCTTGTTTGAATTTTATGACTCCGGGGAGTGGACTCGTTTTGTAAACAATTAATTACAACTATGTAATTACGTTCACATGGCGATAAATTTATTACAATTACGGTTTACACCAGACCACTAGTGTTCACGCCCACATACAGGCCAGCCTGCAATCATCATAACGCACAACAATGCATATACATATACATACATACATATGTACATACACACATAGCATATATGTAAATACAAAGCCTTTCACATTGATGTGTCATAAAAAATATGGTAATTCTCTACAATGGCAACGCTGGCTCATTTCAGCGGTGATAAGTGGGTGTGGCTGGCGGTATCCATTGTGCAATTAACCGCAAAATGCATTGAGATTAACCTCAATTCCATGGATGCGCAATTAATTCAATTTGTTTGAACACACACACACGCACACACATAAACACACCACCAGCCAACAAACACACACGCAATCGAACAGCTGCAGGCATTTATAAAAACACAAACAAGGTCACACCTTATAGCGGTCGTAATTGAAATTAATAAATTCACAACGATCCAACATTTTAGCGCGATGCAGCGAAAGCGAAAGACCCGAAAGTGGTTTTCTAAACACTTTCAAAACTCCCATTGCTCGCTTTACTCGCTGGAGTCATCCTTCTTCTTCGGCAGCAGTGATAAATAGAGGAATTACGAGGTTGGAGTTTAAGAATCTTCTTTTGTCTTTGTAAATAACATTTAAGAATCTCTGAGATCGCGCTTATTTCGAACGTGCGAGTTCAGTAATGTGGCCATCGTTATCGTACCAGAGCTGTTGTGGAACAATTATGGATTTCGTTTCGCGATCTCACTTCAGCTCCGGAAGCCGTGGGCTGTGCAATACGATTGGACACATTCTTCTACTTTCGAAACTCAAACGATCCCGGTTATAATTGTAAAAAAAATCTTTACTAATTAAACATCAATGTATTTAGCCAAACAAAACCATTTTCGAATAAAGGAATGTCCTATGTTATTCTACGTCCGCCAAACCTTTACAGCTTCTTTGCTAAAAACATCCATTACAGTTACCAACAGCTTTGCATGTACAAAGCTCAAACATTTTCAAAAACTTTGGGCTTTTAACTGCAGGGTGGTCGGTTGGTAAAGTTTTTAACAGCTTTTGTTCCGCTATAAAATCGCTTCGCAAGTTTTACAATAAAGTTAAGTAAAATAGTAGTTGCACACTAATTGCTTTTTGCGTTCAATTCGATCCCACTATTTCCACATGTTTTCTCTGTCAATAAGGTATTATGGATAGAAGTTTTTTAAATAGTATAGTCCTGCCGTTATCTATAACTGGAATATGCATATACAGTGCACACGCTTTTTTCTTAACAGTAAATTTAGTTATCCAAATGTTTTTTTTTGTATTTCATGTCGTAATAGCTCTGCCAACCGTGAAACGTTTTGAGCTTTCCTTTTACTTTTCGCCACTTCATGGACGAAATGAAAATATATATACAACACCAATGCTGTAAAGCTTCTTTTAACCAACTTCACAAAAAGGAGAGGTTATCAATTCATTGGAATGTATACACATTTTTATTATGTATGTTACCGCATAATTTTGGACCACGTTAACCGATTTCTAAAATTCTTTTTTAAGGAAGGTTGTTACCTCACAGGTGGTCCCATATTAATTCGGTTTAAATCTGATCATCGGATCATGAAGAAATGAACGATGAACTTAAATTTTTATATGAGAATTGAAGTCGATTTTTGTTTTTTGCTTAAAAATTACTTGTTATTCTTTTCAACTCAGTCAAAGTTTTATGTATCTAATTCAAATTGTACTTTATATATCTGCTTTTTATACTCGAGCGCACTTGTGAGATAGAGATAGACAAATGTATACATAAATGAGCAGAATGAAAAGAGAAATCGATTAAGCGGTGACTGTGTGTCCGTCCGTCCGTCTGTGTATACGATAACTCCAGTAAAAATTGAGATATCTTAACGAAACTTGGTATGTGTACTTCTTTTCCGCGTAGAATTTTTCACTCGGCGCGGCGGCGGCAGCGTTCGGCGCCTGAGGATTAATGTGCAAAATATTGACTATATACAGTGTTCGAAAAACTAACAATTTATTTATTTTGTTGTTATTTAATGCAAATCCATGTTTCAAACTTTGTGCAATATTAAAAGAAAATAACAAACTTTCGTAAAAAATTTGAGCTTTTTAATTCGATTTCTTAGAAAGATTTTATGTATGCGGTTTTGTAGCCCTATTCATTCAAGTAGAACTTGCACTTTAGTTTCAAATGGCTAAAAATTACAGTAGGTTTTTTAGAAATTTTCGTCCCGCGAATAAACACAATTTTTTTTATATGGAAGAAAACCGTAACATCTTCAATAAAAAAAAATATTTAAAAAAATCAAGTGTAATTTTAAGCCATTTAAAACTTGCACTATTTTCCACTTGAATCCAATAGGCTATAAAACTGCATACTCAAAATCTTTCTAAGAAATCTAATTAAAAAGCTCGAAATTTTTGTTGAATATATTTAGTTTTTTTTTTTTGTAATATTACACAAAGTAGGAACTTGGATCTATACGGGCTTTCTTAAAGAATGGACTATATTTTTATATAAAATAACTAAAATTTATTAACATTATGAAAAATAATAAGTTAAAACTTGTCGATATGTGGTGCGGCTGTAATTTTTTCGACCACTGTACAAAAACTGGAATATATCGTAAAATTGCGCCCGAAATCGTCGTTAGGGGTACATCATATTCCGTTGGCGGAAGGTTAATATGGGCATTGTTGAGCATTTTAAAGTTATTCACAGAAAATTGTATGGGGTATAGTTTTTTTGTACGGGCAATTATATGGTCGGAAACGTTTCTACTAAGTCACCAGTAGTAAAATGTGTATATTATTTAACTGAACTATTCAAAGCGCAAATCTTTTAAATACAACGATAAGTTGTTTATCTTGTTACTAAAAAAGAAAATAATGTTCGCAAACTGGATCGAGAAAATGCAAAATGGTGTAACTCTATTTATGGGTCATTCCACACAATATATACACCTCAGTATTTTATTACATTCTTTATCAAAAAAAATTGTCGAAATTTTGAATTCACAAAGAAGTATCTTTTTTTCAATTATTTCTAGTAAATAAAGAAAATTAAGTTAAGTAAGCAAAATGTGCGTAGTTACCTCGGCTTTGTATTTAAATGTGAGAAAGATTTAAAAAAAAAATTGTTTGCATTAAAAAATTTAGTTTTTTATAATTTTTGTACTATTTTTTATTTATTTTACACTGTCTTGATTTAGGTTTTTTTTGGAATCTCAATAGTTGACAAACTTTACAGAGTACAGTGTAAAAATTTGAGAATGGAAGAGCCGAAACTGTAGAAGTTACGAGATTTTTCATGCCTGCGTTCGTAAAGTTCCAGCGCATGACTTGCCAGTGCTACTTTATGTACACAGGCATGAAAAACTCGTAACTACTACAGTTTAGGGTTTTCCATTCTTAAATTTTTACAGTATACTCCATTGGGTTTGACCACTATTTAGATTGCAAAAGAAAAAAATTAAACAGTGCATAATGAATGAAAAAATTATAAAAAATATAAAAAATGCAACTTTTTAATGCAAAAAATTATTTATCTCACACTCTAGTGGAAAGCCGAGGTATTTACGCACATTTTGATTGCTGAAATGATTTCCTCCTGCAAATAGTTTTTTAACTGCAAAAAAATTAAAAATGATAATACTTTGTGAGTTCGGAATTTCAGAGTTTTTTTCGATATTTTCGAATATCATGACGAAATAAAAAATAGGTGTTTTTTCGTTAAAGAAAGTAAAACAAAAAAAATATTTCACACCAATAAAAATATTGAGGTGTAAATATTGTATGGAATGTATAGTTATTTGGTAGCAGTGCTGTGATTTTTTAATTTTCGAGTGAAGTGTTTCGGGAGGAAAAGTGAAGTGATTGTCGTAGTGACTATTTTGAAACACAATTATGTCCCACGTACCCACGTGGGTCCCACGGTTATTCGATTCCATTTTTTTATTAGCTGATTGGTTAATTTACTATTTTTTATATTGAAGTACTTTAATAAACAAGCATATGCACCGATTCCAAATATTTATTAGACGCCTTTTGAGTAAAAGTTTGCGTAAAGTTGCGTTACAATTTAACAAGAATTGGTTTCCTACGTTCTTTTGTATGTGGCTAATGGTCAGATGCGGCGGCGCTATTTAAGGCGCCGGCGTCATCGCCGCCGATTATTTATAAGATCCACGATGCCGCCGACGTAAACCTCTAATGATCACTTGATAACACTTACACTGTACACTTATCCATAGAATAAAAAATTAACTCGATTTTCTGAATGAGCGAATAATTCTATATAGGAATTGGATATGTAGTGGCGTCCGATGAACATTTTTCCTGTAAACCAGTGTTATTTTTCAGTTGTTGTCTTTTTAAGGGCCTTCTTTTGCCTTTCTTGCTATTACCAGTGCTTTTTCCTGCTTATGTCGCCATTTCATTTTGCTTTTCCAGCCTATTTTGTTATTTTATTTTGACTTTTTTTATAGGTTTTTAGGTCCTAAAGATCCGTTCCCTGATAATGACGTTGGTAATATTCGCGAGTCGTTGCAACCCTGAAAATCTAACTTGACCGGGCTAGTACGAAAAATTTTGAATATATAGTTTAAATAGAGTATCAATTCAAAAATATTGGCTACGCGGTTTATAATTTACTTCAATTAGTTTGACAACAGATAATTTATGGGGAAAAAATGTGCTACTGGCTTGAAAAAAAAATTAAAAATTTTATTGAAAAGTCNATCCCTGCAAGAACAGTGACTATCATTTGACAAATCATTTGAGTAGCAACCCTGCAAGAACAGTGACTATCATTTGACAAATCATTTGATGGGCAAGACTGATGGAGATTTCTGTCACTGGCTACCTACAAGTTTCTATCAAATTCTAAAGGGCAGTGTGAAAAATCTGATGGAAACTTTCGTGTACGTGTGATGCTTCATCTCCTTCTGGCATATACGTTTTGGCATAATGCTATACTGCTCACTCCCATTGAGTTCGGCATTCAGATTTGAATCATCAGTGATGTAAATCTTCGACAATTATGAG